GGGTTGGTGGCAAGCAACATGCATTTAAGATGCATTAGAATGTGTCCTGCATGTATTTTTTTGTAAATTCATTTTATAATTCTTTTTGACAATTATCTGTGCCTTAGCTGCACTCTAGTTCTGATATTTAATGAGGAGTACATAAAAATATCAATTTTACAGTCAAATGTTACATGGTATGAAAAGTAGTTTGAAATGCACATTTTCATGTTTGGCCTACATCTGACACAGAAAATAGCATCACACTTACCAACTATTTTTAGTTGTAAAATTTAGTGAGTCTCTTTCATTTGTTATAGAAAAGGCACTTATGAGCTTTCACTCAAGTCTGGCTTCATGTGTTTTGCGCATGTACCTTAATGTCTATAGAATGTGTCTCAGTGGGGCAGAGCAACTTGCGGCGAGCGTTGCCATCTTGATTTATGGTCCAGTATCCCGTCATCCTGACTTCAGGCAGAGGTAACCTACAGACAATAAACTGGTCAGGCCTGAAAATAACATCAAACTGAGAAATCTTATTTTCACAAACTGATGTTAAGTGATTGTGTTTAGATCTGAAAATAAATATTGTAGCTATTTTAGGGGTTTTAAATAGTGATCAATAAATCATAAATTAATTCAAAACAAATGTCTTGAAGCATGCTCAAAAATCCAGGTAGATAAATCTAACAAGGTTGAGTCAGGTCCACTGGAGGATTCTTCTTGAAACGTTTCATCTTTTATCCAAAAGATTTCTTCAGTCTGAGGAGCTGCAAGTAAACTAAGCAGCATCTGCTCATAGTGGACCAGCCAGTTTGCTGGGGAAAGCCAGAACTAGCTGCTCACATGCAAAAGGAGGACCATCAGCCAAACAACAGATCATTAGTGTCCTGATGACTGCTTGCTATTCACAGAGGGCTGAGTGATACTTACAATAACAGCATTATAAGAGGGGGGACAGTTGAACATGGAGGCCTCCACCCCGTTTAACAATGAACGGTTTCTCTTCACAAAGATGGCCTCCTTCACTCCTCTCCCAATGCAACGTTCCTCTCTATCCAGGATGTGAACATATTTATCCCTGAAAGAGTGACCGCTGGTCTGAAGATGAGTGTAGACCGCAGAATCCTGGCCTGATGATGTTGATCTTTTGTGCTGGGCCATCCTTTTGGCCAGTGGCTGTTTAGTTTCCCCGATGTAAGACTGATCACAGCCCTCCTGACACTGAACAACATACACAATATTACTCTACGGGGCGGCTGTGGCTGAGTGGTTAGAGCAGGCGTCCTCCAATGCGAGAGTTGGGGGTTCGAATCCAACAACAGTCACATGTCGAAGTGTCCCTGGGCAAGACATTGAACCCCTCATTGCCTCTGATGTGTGTCCCATCAGTGTATGAATGTGATAAAGCTCTGATTAGTCTCTTTAGAATGATTTGTTCAATTATCTTTGTAGAGATCTAGTAGAGTGCTGTATGAATGGGTAAAGGAGGACACAGATTGTACTGTAAAGCACTTTGAGTATCTTGAAATAAGATAGAAAGATGCTATATAAGTACAGTCCATTTACCATTTACTCTGTTTGTGCCGGGGGACTGGATCTTTGGGATGGACCAGTCTTTGCTGTAATGTATTCTGAGGTTTGAAAGCCACTGGGATGTCATGTTTAGAAAATACTGCAAATGTCTCAGTGTCTCTGAAACTCCCAGAACATACAAAATGACCACTGATCTGGGTTCCTCCTTTTCACCTGATGGCCGACTGGAGTCCTGTTTGGGTTTCTTCTCTGCTTTCAGGAAGGCCAAGTTAGGATTTCCACATTACTCCTGGACCTGCCATTTGTGGGATTTCTCCTTCGATAAACAGATGTCCATCGTTAAACAGGGCTGAAGGCCTCCAAGCGCAATTGTCCCACCTCTTATAATGCTGTTAAACATTAGACAGACTACTTCACTTCCTGTTTTAAAATCTCTTCTAAAACACACCACACTTCCCCTCAGGAAGGAGGTTGAGGAGCATTAAGTGTAGAACCACTAGACTGAGGAACAGTTTCTACCCTGAAGCTGTTAGACTCATAAATCTCTAATCAGGATAATCACTGTGAAAAATCACATCATGATGCTGCTGATTTGTTTCATGTTGATGGGTTCATGCGTGCTCATCTGCTCACACAGACTCATGTTCGTGCTGCTGTTTGACGTAATGGTTTTATGCTATTAGTGCTTAGTGTATAATTTAGTTGATATTTTTCTTAGTTCATAACTTAGATCTTATTACCATTTTTCTTTTACATTTTATTGTTGGATGTAACTGGGATCCTGTGTACATAATCTTGTTCCACCACATGTACCACATGAGATGCGGATGACAAATAAATCTCTCGGACTCTGACTCTGTATTCACTGATTAACACAGTGCGATTTGATTTAGTATTTTATTGTTTCTCATTGTTTTTGTGTTTTTATTGTTATGCTTTTTATTACATTTTGTTATTATTTTTCTTTTAATTACTGCCTTGATCTTATTGCTAAGCACTTTGGTAACAGCTGCTGTTTTAAATGTGCTTTATAAATAAATTTGACTTGACCAAAAGATTTTAAATTGAAAACAAACATTTTCATTAAGTCTAGCAATTTATTGAGAGGATGAGTAAATATAATGGGAATAATAATGTATGTTTGAGTCCTTGTTCAGCATGTCATATCTGACCAAATGTTTACTGGTTTTCTCATGAATAAGTGTGGGACCAGGGACACAAACTTTGTGGTGGCTGGTAGGGTGAAAGACCCAGTGTGACTGCTAAACACACACATTCCCAAGGAGAGGAGGAAGGCCATCTAACCAATAAATCTCTACAGTTGTGTTTGAACGTTTGTGAACTTTTTAGAATTGTCTGTATTTCTGCATAAATATGACCTAATCATCATCAAATTTTCACACTTCACAACATGTTTGTGGAAGTGGATCATGGCAGGAACAAAGGAGATTTCTGAGGAGCTCAGAAAAGAGTTGTTGATGCTCATCAGGCTGGAAAATGTTACAAAACATCTGTAAAGACTTTGGACTCCACCAATTCACAGTCAGACAGATTGTGTACAAATGGAGGAAATTCAAGACCAGTGTTACCCTCCCCAGGAGTGGTGGAGCAACAAAGATCACTTCAAGGTGTGGAATAGTCGGCGAGGTCACAAAGAACCCCAGGGCAACTTCTAACAACTGAAGGTCTCTCTCACATTAATGTTCATGAGTCCACCGTCAGGAGAACCTTGAACAACCATGGTATCATGGCAGGGTTGAAGGAGAAAGACACTGCTCTGCTAAAAGAACCTTGCTGCTCATCTGCAGTTTGATAAAGATCACATGGACAAGACAGAAGGCTGTTGGAAGAATGTTTTGTGGATGGATGAGACAAAATAGAACTTTTTGGATTCAATGAAAAGTGTTATGTTTGGAAAAAGGAAAACTCGCATTCCTGCATAAAAACCTTATCCCATCTGTGAAACATGGTGGTGGTAGTATCATGGTTTGGGCCTGTTTTGCTGCATCTGGGCCAGGACAGCTTGCCATCATTGATGGAATAATGAATTCTGAATTATATCAGATAATTCTAAAGGAAAATGTCAGAACATCTGTCCATGAACTGGATCTCACGAAAAGGTGGGTCATGCAGCAACACAATGACCCTCAGCACACAAGTGGTTCTACCAAAGAATGGTTCAAGAAGAATAAAGTTCATGTTTTGGAATGGCCAAGTCAAAGTCCTGACCTTAATCCAATCCAGATGTTGTGGAAGGACCTGAAGCAGCAGTTAATGTGAGGAAACCACCAACATCCAGAATTGAAGTTGTTCCTCTTATTCTCCTATTCTCTTTATACATGCTGCCACTTGGTGATATTTTCCGGAAACACAACATACCCTTTCACTTCTACGTCAATGACTGTCAAATTTACTTCCCCCTAAGACACAATGGCACATGCTCTATTCAACCTTTGCTCGACTGCCTGGCTGACATCAGGGACTGGATGGCTTTAAACTTCTTAAGTTTCAATGAAAAGAAGTCTGAAGTCATGTTGTTCCCTCCCAACGACACGATCACAAACCACTGAATCGACATTTCTGCTCTAACCCTGTCAGAAAAACAAAGAGTCACTAATCTGGGAGTGATAATGGACCCTTCCCTGAAACTTAACAATCATGTAAACATGATTGTTAAATCATGTTTCTTCCAACTGAGGCGGCTGTCTAAACTGAAGCCCATATTGTCCAAAAATAACCTGGAGACAGAGACATGCATTCATTACATCTAGGCTTGATTACTGCAATTCGCTCCTGTTTGGTATCAGTCAGACCTCCATTGTACGACTACAACTGGTCCAGAATGCAGCAGCCCGATTTTTAACCAGTACAGGCAAAAGAGAGCACATTACACCAGTTTTGGCCTCACTGCACTGGTTACCGGTTCACCGTAGAATCCAGTTCAAAATACTCCTGTATGTCTACAAATCGCTGAACAGTTTCGCCCCCCCTCTCTCTAATCTGCTACAGCCGTATGTCCCACCACGCTCCCTGAGGTCAGCGGACCAGTTGCTTCTCACAGTTCCAGGAACTCGTCTTAAGCGCAGAGGTGACAGGGCCTTCTCTGTAGCAGGACCAAGACTTTGGAAGGAGTTGCCTCTGATTGTCAGACTGGCCCCCTCCCTCTCGGTTTTCAAGTCCCATTTAAAAACCCACTACTATTCAGTAGCTTTCAACACCAGATGATCTGTGTTTTGATCCTGTATGCTCCACACTGGTTAGTCGTCGTATTTATTATCTGCATCGTTTTTATGGCTATATTCTGATTGACCTCATTTTGTATATTCCTTTGTGTGTTGCCTGTTTTTCTGTCTGTACAGCACTTTGTTTGGTCTTGTAGCTGTTTTAAGTGCTCTATAAATAAAATGGTATGGTATGGTATGGTATAGTTCTGTGCAAAGGAATGGGCTCAAATTCCTCCAAGCCGGTGAGCAGGACTGATCAACAGTTACTGGAAACGTGTAGTTGCAGTTATTGCTCCACGGGGGTGGGAGGTGGGAGGTGTCACATCAGGTACTGAAAGCAAAAGTTCACATACTTTTACCACACAAATATGTAATATTGGATCATTTTCCTCAATAAATATATGACCTAGTATAATATTATGTCTCGTTTGTTTAACTGGGTGCTCTTTATCTACTTTTAGGACTTGTGTGAAAATCTGATGATATTTTAGATCAAATTTATGCAGAAATATAGAAAATTAAAATTATAAAGGCTTCACAAACTTTCCAGCACCACTGTATGCATATACAGTACGAGGAATGAGACGAAGAAGAAAATTATGGAGAAGATTTTGTACAGTATGTACCAGTAATCAGTTTCCTAATTGTACAAGGAAAATACTTGTTTTTGCCCTGTTCTGTTTTCAAGGCTTACTTTTTAGTTATAAAACTGAATTGTCTTGATGAAGATGATTTTTCAAAAGAAAACAGGAGACTGAAGAAACAAATATTTTCCTTTATTTAAAAGATGAAAATGCACATTATTGGGGACACTGTAGTGGATAGTTAAATGTTCTAGGATTCGTACACACTACTCGGAATACTTTATTATATATATATATATATATAATATACTTTAAATATTTTTTTTAACAAATTTTCTCCTGAATTTGCACCTCCCGTCTAAACACAGACGTTTTGTTAAAAAAATGTTTTCGGTGTCTTTAGGTGGAGTAGAGATCTAAAGCTTTTGGGAAACAGTGCCGTAGCAGTTTATTTCCCACATGCCCTCTGTTACTTTGTTCCCTAAAAACCACTAAAGGCATTTTCTGTCTCACTCACTGTTTAAACTAGTTGGTTACTCAAAATTGCAGATGAATTGCAAAAATATTTTCTATTTTTTTCCTCACTGAATTTTGAGTGACCAGAAAGCCATTTCGTCAAGTTTTCAATGACCAGTGTTTGTAAATCAAGTACACAACATCTTGAACTTGAGTTGATAGTGATTTAATCAGAATCAGGTTGTAAAAATTGAGGTTTTAATTACAGCAGTGCTGAATTGCTTTGATAGTGTCTACACAAAATCCTAATAGGTAACTTAAAGTAAATGTTTTAGTCATTTTGCATTTAGATTAAATAAAAAGTCAAATAGAAGAAACTTTTTTGGGAATTTGTTTGTATGTATTTATAGTAAATGTGTTACGGAGGGAGGAAGCAAACAGATTTAAAAGACTGGCAGAAAGCAGTCTGCCACCGTTCAAACTTGCTTTAGCAGCTTCTATATATGTGTTAGTTACATTTAAGTAAAAATTGTTGGTATTACTGCTAATCATTATTTTAGAAATAGAGCATTTTGAAAATTTCAAGCATGTTAAAGTTTTATTAATTTGATCATTCTTGTTTAAAGCAGGTACTTAAAACTGAACATTTTAATATTATGTTAATTGAGTTGTTTGATGTAAAACACTCTTTAACATGATTTACTGGAAATAAAGATATTTTGGCAATTTGTATAATCAGTTACTGTGAGTTGCATGTGTCCATTCTGAGTTCATTAGAAGACCAAAAATATATCACGTGATAAACAAACTACTTTGTTTTAATCCATTTAATTATTGTTATACTGTACATGGAAACAGACTATTATGGCATTCTGAAGATGTTTAACAATAGATTTATTTGATCGTATTTACTGTGTTTCATGCACTGTTCTGCACTGTGTCCTATCTATGCTAACATATGTTTTTGGTGTGCATGTGGTCCTAGCATCATGTGCTCCCAGTGTCTTACTCCTTAGCCAGTTTGACAGATGTGGGCTTGGCCCCAATGGGAATCCCGTGCTTGTGCAGAGACTCAATCAGAACCTCCCGCATGTCTTTGTTGTACGAGTCGAAGTCGAAGACGTTTCGCACCACATTGGCCAAACCCTCGTTGGGAAATTTCTGATAAAGAAGCAAAGTGGAGTGAGAGAAAAAGATAAATGAGTGGAAAAAGATGGAAATAGAAATTATTCATTGGTTGAAGGAAGTAGGAGGTATTGTTTTTTGAGTGTAATAAAGATGGGTAAAAAAAAAAGATTTGAATGACAGGACAGTTTGGCAAAAACGATAAAAGAAAAACACCAAGGAGATGGAAAAAAAAATTGCTTAGAATTTCTCAAAGTAGTAACGTCTGAAATACGACACAGGATGATACTATCAAAACAAATTCATTATGATTAAATCCACTAGAGTTTATAAACTGTGGAAAATAATTTTATAAACAATATATTTATTCTAATGGCAATTTTATCCTGATGTTGTCACCATGGCAACACTTAAAAATGTTTACATAAACATACAGAGGAAATTAGAAGTATTTACTCTCGGATGTTTTACTCTTTTATCGTTGTCTTAAATCAGTCATAGTCCATATACCCATGATTGAATAAATTATGATTATTACATATAAAAGAACAATTAAAAAAACTTCAACGTCAAAGTGATTTTTTACAGAGTAATATTAATTAAATAAAAATATGTGATGTAAATAAGTGATTGCATGAATATTCACCCCCTTTAAATGTGATTTTCCTAACGCAACGCAGAAAAACGGTTATTGAAAAGTACAAGCAGGGATTGTACACAAAGAACCCTAAACATCCCAAGAAGTTTTATTAAATCCATCACTAAGAAATGAAAAGAATATGGTCATGTGTAAATCTACCAAGAGCAGGTCAGCCTCACAAACTGAGAGACTGTGAGAGAGGCCACTAAGACACCTGTGACCACACTGAAGGAGTAAGTCTTCAGCAGGTGAGACTGGAGAGACTGTCCATCCAAGAACTATTGTCGGTAATTCTCTAAGCTTTAGGAGAAAGTGGCAAAAAGAAAGTCACTGAAGAAAACTTAGATAAAATCTTAGCAAACTCTAGTCATGTTTGCCTAACTCTTTCACCTAGAGTGTGGCATAATTTAATTGATAGTTATTATGAATATGTATGCAACCAATCATTTTACATTAGATATTTTAAGTTATTTAACTGGTATTACTCTGTAGAAATTTGATTTCACTTTGACAACAGTTTGGTCTGGAAATCAGTAAAGAAAACTTAAGTGCTCCATCAGCCAGCACCTAACGAACCGTACACCCCACCACACATCAGCGTCAGCACAGCTGAGCTGAAGGTCTGTAAATCTGTTCTTTTATCATGGGTGCACAACTTCAGCAGACACCAACACTGACACAGAACTCAACCACAGGACAGTGGCTTTGGCAGACTCTATAAAAAAGTCTGGTCCAGGGCTTAATTTGTAAACCAATTGATGCCGGAACACAAATAGAAGGTGGTCTGGCAAAGGGGAGGTGGGGGGTCCTCCCCCAGAAAATTTGGAATAAAAGAGATTCCATTTCCTGCATCTTGGTGTATTTTAACAGGTTGTTAAACATCTGTAAACATTTGATTAAATTGATTAAAAACAAGTCTCTTTTGTAAATGACGAGGCTCAATGAGACTAACAACCTGTATAATGAAGGTTGAATTGAAATGACTATTTTAGAGCAGTGAATAGATCAGCTCCGATTCTGTCAAGTGTTCTAACCCCCCTAACACCCCCCCCCCACACACACACACACACACACACACAAACTTCAATGTCTGACCCAAACTCTTCTCAGCTAATTTCAGTCCCGCGTGCTGTTCTGCTCCAGTCTCTATCACCAACGCCTTCAGGTGCTTCAATTCTCTGTTGTCCAGCTAAGGACAATCCATCCATCCATTTAATTTACATAATAAATTGGACCGTCTTTTCGAAATGTTGATCCTGTTATTTTAACTAATTTTGAAATGTGCAATGTGAAGAATACACATGAAATATGTTACTCATACTTTTTTTTTAACTGTAATCTTTTTTATATATTATGTTTGAAATGTATGCAGGAGTTCTGACACATGGACAGTTGTGCGCGCTCTGCAGAGCTGTCTGGAGACGGTCCTGTTCGTAAAACGTGCACTGTCTGCAGGGCGCACAAATGAGCAGGTGAAGCTGACACCCCACCCACGTCAAAATTCCATAAAATACAATGAGTGGTTAGTGCTATGTTTGTGCTGGTTTGTGCCGTTAAAATGTTCGTTTGTGCTGCTTTGGTTTCTGAGACACATCTGAAGGTGGATGAAGACGCTTCATCCCCGCGGGACATGCAGTCAGCGTCTCTGCTGGCAGGAGCGTGTGCGTGAGCTGTTACGCCTGCTGCAGCAGTAACATCCACTCCACAGACGCGGACATCTCCTGTCATTGTATATTTAAAAAATAATCAAAATAAAAATGCGCAATGACTTTGAACTTTTATGCGCGGAGATATGAGCTGCTGGATCCGAGCAAACAGTTGCTGGAACAAACACGGTGAAAATGAGGGAGTTCCCGGATCTTGTTCCAGCAGGATCCAGCTCAAATTAACCACTGGTCTGGTCCAACAAAGACCTGAGGACAGGGACAAAGGTCTAAATATTAATCCTGTATGGATCGGAGACATGGGTGACATACTGTTAGAAAATATTTTGTGTCACAGGTTATGAATGTTTTATATTGTGACTGAGAGCACCTGCCGTGATTATCTCGACATGAGGCTAACTCGACTGAGAACCTCAGGTTCTCCTGTCTCCCATTTACTGTCTCTCATAACAAGTTTGTTATCTTGGCCTGGACTTGTGGCGTCTCCCTGATGCTCAAGTCTGTGCAGACAAGAGTAACAGGATGTGAGAGATGGAGGAACACCCACTGAAATGTTATGATGATGTTATAAAAGTCAATAGAAGACCAAGTTCTGAGTTGATTCTGTGACACTGAATGTATATATGTATATATATATATATATATATATATATATGTATTCTGTCCTTATGCACCCCTTCAAGCAATAGCCAGTTAAAAATCTTCACCTGCCACGAGTTTGTGGTTTTCTATTTAAGTAAACATTAGTGAAAAAGATTTTTTCTTACACATAAAGAAGGCACCCACAACTCCTAGAATGCTTCCACCTGTACTGTCTCCACCCCATTTTTAACATCCACTGGAGTGATTACATAACCAACACCTTAGTCCTCCAGCAGACTGAGAGCACTAGTATTGAGGTCAATATATCTTAGACATAAAAATACTCTTGTGATGCGGTGACATATCACAACGTGGCATGTGGTTGATGCAAACTATGAGAATTAAAGGGGCGTTACTTTATTTTCATGGGCTTGGAGAAGCATAGCATATGATGCTCGGATTGGAACCATTAAAAAAGCTCACTCTATATTTGTAAAATATTTAATATTTAAAAGTTCAAATTATATTCAAACTGTACTTGAAGGTTTTACATTGTTTCACTTGTGCATCAAACAGCTAAGAAGACAACGATCACAAATCATGCAATAAACTAATTTTTTACAATGTTTTTATATTTTTTAGTTTAGTATTTTCATGAATTAGATAAGTTGTTACCATAAAATTCAATTTTTTTTGTTCTTTGTGTTCACTTTTTTGATTGTATGTTCAAAATAAAAAAAACATCAGACTGTTTTTTTTTTTCAAATTTACCTTTTTTCTCCAGAAAATGGCCAACGTTCTTAGTTTCAACATTTGCTATGTTTTCTTTGTTCCATTGTGAATAAAAATTGTTTCATAAAATTTGCTAACCCTTACTTTTAAGATGTATTTATCATCACAACAAATATATGTATATATATATATATATATATATATATATACATATATATATATATAT